GTCTACATCAAGTAGACTACAAGATATATGGTACTTTTCCATGAGGATAAGTTGAGCTTACTTAATATGAAAGTTAAATCAGATTTTAATTAATTACATGGGGCCCACTAATTAAGCAAAATTCCTCTCTTTTTCCCTTGCTTGGCTGGCCCCTCCCACCTAGCTGTTTCTCTCTCCTTGCCACCTAGGCGTCTACTAATTACTTCTTAATGCCCCCCCTAATAGCCGCCCCCCTCTTAATTTAATTTTAGGGAAAGTTTAATGATAAAATAACTTCTCCCTCCAAGCCTAGAAAATCTGAAATTCAAATTCAGATTTTCTCCTTGCCTCTCCCTAGCTCACGGCCCAACTCTTCCTCCCTTTTCTTCTTCCCGCCCCTCGTCAATATTGAATGGCGGATCCGGAAATTGAGTGAGGGCTTGTGTTCAACGCCGACGGTAGCCTCAACATCCTCCGATCCCCGTTCTTTGACGCGGGGTTTGAGCACGAAGACACAGTTGGCGAATACTTGGAGCGAATTCTTCCATCACTTGTGCGCGTCATCGACCGACATTTTCAAGGCTACGTTTGGACGATCACCGGGCGCCATCCACCACCACTTCCACCGGCGGCTACCTCTCCGGTTACGAAGTCCTTCGTCTCCTTTTTCGTTGTGGTGCTCTTCATCTTCGTGTGGTTCTTTCTTCTCCGCTAAAAGCCAAAGAGTGAACGAGTGAGAAGGTACTCAAGGTGAATTTTCTCATTATTTATTGTGGGATTTTTGTTATGAGCATTTAAGTATTTCATTTATCTTTGAATGTTATGAATTGATTGGTTATCTCAAAACAACTCTTCGTCTATGCAAGTTGATTACCTAGAATACTTTTAATCCTTCCTTTTATTGGTGATAAATTTTTATTGGCAACGCTCTAATTAATCTTCATTTTAATTTCCGCACACAATTCCTTCATTGTTTCACATCAATTATGTTGTTCATGTCCAATATCATAAATTACAGGATCCTTAGTTATGTCGTTGGAGTTTGTTTCACATGTTTTACGTGCATGCAAGATATTTTTTGCAGACAATAAATGACTCGTAAATTAACTTCACTTAGGTTTTTGTGTATATAGTATGTGTTTACTTTTTTTATAATTTATAATGCAAATTTCATGCTCTGGATCTTTTTTTTTTTTTTTTAATTTTTTTTAATGCTCTGGATCTATGTTTTCGCTTAATTGATTTTTTTTTTTTTGCAGATTTTTGTCAGACAGAAGAACCGCAGCTCTTCAAAAGCTTCTGAAAATCCAATAAAAGTAAGATATAAACTTGAAAGCAGTGAACCATTAGCAGTCGTACGTAAAGCTGATGGATTTATTATGTGTGCGGACATGCTTGGTCATTTGCTTTAGAGCTCTTATTCAATATGAACACAATTCTTATTTATCTCAACTTCTGATTTAGATATCGTCTCCCTGTTTAAGTTGGATATTTAGTTTTGTCTATCTTTTCAGTATATTAGGGCAATTTGAGCATCTATGATGTCAAACCACAAGGAATTGCATTAGAGATTATAAAGAAATTGATTAATCTTTGTAATATAAATTAATGTTTCACAAGATTGGATGGTTAGAATTTAAGGCTATCAATAATGTAAGGGCAATCAATTACAATGTAGAATAGCAAGCACTTGAAAATAATTTCATTTTATAAAGATAAATTTAAATAGTGTAAACAAGAGATCCCACACTTAACAAATAGGAAAGTCACCTTGAGTTTCTCTCGCTCACACTCATTTAAGAGTGGTTAGCGGGAAAAGGATATTAGCAAGCCGAACGATGCCACCAAAGTTGAGAAGACACCTATGGTTGTAGGCTTCTACCTTTTCAAAACTCATGGGCCTGGTTGTAGCATCATGTGAATCCTATGATCTTGTGCAGCATGCTTTAGTAATTATTTGAATACTAATGTGTAGGTGGCTGATTAAATATTTTCATTCTTGTAATGCTTGGGCAATTTTCAATTTTTCTTCCAGTATGTAATTTTTTTGTTATACTTTTGTAGACAGTAAGGCGCATGAAATCCTCCCCTTTGACAGAACATGAGAAGGCACTTATCGACAAGGTGGTATTATTTCCATCAATATGCTCTTAGCAACTTGTTTGTTCATATTAGTCTCCACTAATTATGATTTTTCTAACCAAACTAGGGATTACGAATCTTTAAGAATAATTGGCTATCTGTATGGGAAAATTGTGTCCCCCATAGAGATCCGTCAATGCTAGCACGACAATGGCGCATTGCTACTGGAACCCAGAAATCATATAAAAAAACAGAGGTTGTTAAGGAGAAGAGGCGTCTATATGAAGCTAAAAGAAGAAGATTGAAAGCGTGTATGGCTGATCAAGAAAATTCAGAAAAGGAGGTGAGTTTGGATATTGTTAATCAAATGAGCGTCCTAAGAATCTTGTTTATTGCTGACAACTTATACATATTATGGATGCATGGAACCTAGGTCAATTATAGAGGTAACAGTGAGGGTGACATGGATTGTGAAGATGAAGCTTATGTTCATGAAGCCTTTCTAGTAGATTTGGAGGCTGGAAGTTCTAAAAACATGGTTCACAGCGGCCGTCTTTCATGCATTAACAATAGTAACAATCAAGCAATTCGGTTGATGCAATATAGAGGCAGCGGTAATGGTGTAAACTGTGACTCTATTACAAATGATTATGAAGAATCACAACTTGAAACTGGAACTAAGAATGTGCTTTTGAATTCTTCAAAATTACCAAAAGATGCAAATTGTTTGCATCAATTTTCCCAGATTGGATATGATGCATCTTACAGTATTTCTTCAAGGCATCTTTCTTCAAGTTTCATTTCAAGAACTTCCGGAGGTCGTTTATTGACACATTCCTATCGAGCTAGGAAGAGAAAAGAACTCCGAATAGTAAAGCTAGCTCCTGATTTCCCCCCCGTGAACCTTCCTCCATCTGGTCGTGTGATCTCTCAGTCAGCTTTCAAAATTTATCATGGCGAGTCAATGCATTCTGATGTAAATGACAAGGTGCTGAAGGATCATGCTCTTAGGGTTGCTCATGTAGCAGAAGCAGGTGTAAATGTGTTGAATCTTATAGAAAATACTTTCAAGCTTTCAGATAATCATCCAAATAATTTTCATTCAGATGGAAGCAACCTTGCAGATCAGATGAAAGAGAATGGTTCTGAATCTAATGTCCAGTTGCACCCATTACTGTTCCAGAACCCATCTCCTTTCTCATTTAATTGTCAAAACACTGCTCCAAGCTCCAATGATTTGCTCATTGGGTCTCAGTGCTCAATCAATACTGTTAGCACTGCAGCTCCTGACAATTCAAGGCGAGGATTAGGTCTTCCGAGAATTTCGAGTACTATTGATTTTCATCCTCTTCTTAAAAGATGTGGGAGTAATAGTGATGTCCCTATCACATTTGATCTGCTATCTGCTGATTTAAGAGCCCCACATGAAACTGGTGCTGTTCAGTTAGTAACTGGTGCATCATCTCGATGTCAGTGTGATGGAATGAGTAAGATTGACTTAAATATTCACTTATCTTCTACAATGGACATGCAAAGGTCTGTTGAAGTATGTGATAATCAGAATGTTGAGCTACATGCATCTACACCTGAGGAAAGAATAGCCGAGACAATTGTGCAAGCAAATTTGAAACCTTCTGACGCTAGAGACAAAGAACTTGAGGCTTCAAGGGAAACAAATTTATTGGTTCATTCAGCTTTATTCTATTCAAAAGATGGATTTGGCCTAAAAAAAACACCTCAAAGGCATAATTTTTCATGCCACCAAAGCATAGAAGACTTTCATGAAGTGTCTAACCCAGGAATTATAATGGAGCAAGAAGAATTAAGTGATTCTGAAGATGAAAGTGAAAATGTGGTTTTTGAATGTGAAGATTTAGAGGACTCCGAAGAAGAAGAATTTTTTGGCGACCCACCTATACAAATCCATAATAAGGTACAATTTTTGCTTCTAATTGTTTGACTTTATGTAATTATTGATTGAGGCAATGTCTCTTTGATACCTTATTGCATCAATTTATAATGCTTCTTTTTTATAATCTGTTTCGTTGCTACTAATAAAGGCACTATATTCTTAATGAGATGAGTAACTTCACTTTATTTTCTTTTAAGCGCTGAGCTACTGCCATGATAGTTGCTCTTTTTCTCTCTCTTTCACACCCACATCTCATTCTATGGTATGTTTTGGATATAATGGAAAACAACATGACACTTTATTGAGAGAAGCCCTGATTTTCACTTAAATCATTTCATTAGCAGGTTCCATGTTTCTCTAGCAAGGATGATGAATTCCAAGTTGCTCGAGGTCTTCATCAACTGCAGCAATCAAACTCAGTATTACATGCTTCTGTTAAGAGAGGAAAAGGTTGTAGAGGCGCCGTGAATGTGTCTCATGGTTTTCAGCATACAAAACTCACAAGGTGAAAGAATGAAAATGGCAGTACAAAAGGAGGCAAATCCTGTAGAAGTTCTCTCATTGCTTCTGCGCCCTCTCCAATCTCTTCTAAAGAAGAGAGGAGATGAAGAAAACTTAATATTGCAGGATTTAGCGTGTAACTAATTGCATGAGTGAGCATTCTGTTCAGAAAAATAAGGTCTGATTATATATTCCCTTTCTATGAGTTTATAGAGGCTAACTCAAGGACTAATTTGTAAGTAAAGTAGTGGTCCTAATTATGTTGCATAGAGCCATAGGAATTGTAGAGTCAACAACAACAACATCAAGCCTTTATCCCACTAAGTGGGGTCACCTACATGAATCCCTTTTCTTCATTATGTCCTGTTAAGAGTCAAATTCTCATTTAACTCTAATAAAAAAAAGTTCATTTATAATATTTTCTAACCAATTCTTTTCATGTCTATCTCTATATTTATTAACATAGGCCAAAACTAATACATTTACTCTCCTAATTGGGTCACCGATATGCTGACATTTTCTGTTATCAAACCATCTAAGGCGGCTCTCTTTTTTATATTTATTTAGATTTTTTTCCTGCTTGTACCATATATGTTTTTTTGATTAATCATGTATTTTTCCTTCAACTAAAATTTGATGGCTGTAAAATCCATTCTGATCAAATTTCAATGTTTTCCTTTTAGAAGTTACCTTTGGATGAATGGAATTAATCTGATCGTTTCCTATCTTTGTTAGTCCAAAGTGTCCATGTAAAAAGATGTCTATAATTCTGTATATGTTTAATACATTTATAATTTCATTTCTAGTGCAACTAACTGTTATTTTCTACATTGTTCATTTCATTGTTGGGTTGCTAGTTTTTATTGTTCTTGTTCAGTATTTTGGCTATAAAATTGTATCTGTTTCGGCTAATTTTCATGTGACTACTGATCTATGTATGCAATGCGCACCTATTTTTTGGGTATTGCATTCATATTTTATTTCTTATCCTAAATTGGTATTTGTGTCTGTAGTTTGAGCTCATGTGTGGATATGTTTTTTTGTATGATCTTTATGTGTGCATGCATTTGGATTTGTGTGTTCTTGCATGCGCTCTCTTAAACATGCATAATCTATGTAGACTGCATTTATGTGGGAACCTTTGTGTATGGATGCACCTTAATATCTGTATGCATGAGTGTTTGTGTACCTTTGCATGCACACACTTAAACATTTATAATCCTCATCCAATCAAATTAAAAATGCCCAATGAAGATAATAATCACTTGAAGCAAATATAGACAGATAAAAGCTAAAATTGTAATAGTGTTGAGTGGCCGGCCAACCCATCTATTAACAGCCGCGACCCAAAAAGGGGCTGTGCGTTTCGCGAACAGAGCGACGGGCAGACGACGGCTTCGTGCAGGAGAGCGAGGTAGGTTTCATTTTTCCAATTTTAGCAAATGATTTCCTTCGAGGATAAGAATTAACAATTCCTTTTCATTCTTATCGTTAAGGAAGTGCTAAATTGGGAGAAATTGCAACGAACAAGAGGAACGATCGAGAGGGAGAAGGAAGGAGGTTTGTATAATTTTTCTTTCCTTTTCGTATAAATTGTCTTAAGTAATTTCATCTAAACTTAGATATACTTTTCATTGAAGAAAAAGAAAGGAATTGAAGGCAAGGGGAAGGATTTTGGGAAAGGAAGAAGAATTTATATATTCCCAATTGTAAGTGATTTTTCTATGGTAAAATTTTTAGTTAAATTTTTGTAATTAATCATTTCTTATGAAAGTTATATTGTGGGGATTTAATGAATTAGAAAGGAGGAGATCAAATTATAGGAGTTGATTTCTTCAAGGAATTCAACAAGAACGAAATTTGAGGCTGAGGTAAGAATCACCTAAATAGATGTTATTGAGAAGTTTGATAAAATTAATCATATGTAATTTGCTTTACTATGTATCTTCTTAGGTGGTGACGAAATCAAAGACTTAGAAGATTCAAAATAGGTATTTATGAAATTTCCTTTATTGTATTTTTTTTAGTTTGCATTGATAAGAGTATGCATTTAATTGCTTAAAGCTTATGATTTATATAATGTTACAAAACTGTTATACGAAAGTAAAATTTTGTACAAGTATGGATATGTGAAAGAAGGCGTATATGAGATAAGAAAGTAGATATGAACAAACAAGACATGTGAAAGAAATGCGAAGTGAAAATGAAAGGCATGCATATAATTATACACATAAGAATGTAAATAAATAAATGTTTAAGAAATGATATAAATATAATTGAATAAAAAGGAAAAAGGGAAATGTTTTGCATGCAAAGCTTACAGGAGTTCACCCCCGTATGGTAATGGCTGGGGAAGCAATGTACCCGTGCACAAAAAATAAGGAAAAGGTTATGGAAAAGGAAAAGGAAATGAAAATGGTTGTACCTTTGGTACAATTAGATGGTGCTCTTGTACAATATGAAATAAGGAAAATGAATAATTGTTAAAGCAAATGTTATAAATGAACATGCTTTGGTATGTAAAAGGTAAAGAAAGGAATATGATATAATATGTATATGAAATGAAATGAAATAAAGAAAAAAAATAGGCCTCAAATGTTAAATTAATGAACCAATATCAAATGTTATGTATATATAAATATATATATGTATATTGTACTTTAAAGCATGTAAATTATTTTAATTGTTACCCACTGAGTTTACTATGTAAATTTATTCTACTAATTAAATGTTTTAGGTAAGTCTCCAAAGATTTAAAAATGACAGAAAGGGAAGAGTTCGTCTACAGAAAACGACGTACAAATGACAACAAGTAATTTGTAATTTGGGTATTAGTGGTTCTTCAGTACAAATAAGAAAGTAGTGAAATGTTTAATGAATTTTTACTCTCCAACTTTTAGTTCCAGCCTCGTTAAATCGAGCATCCGGGACGGGTCGTGACAAAAATAAGTGAAGGTGATGAAGAAATGTAAATGCTTTTCATTGTAGTTGAACATTAAAGTTCCTTTTGCTTAAGCAACAGACAGCATCTTCGCTAACTAAGATGGGACAACACTAAAACATTATATTGTTCATGTCCGATATCGTAAGCTGTGGATCCTTGGTTTTGTCGCTGGAGCTTGTTTCAACATGTTTTATGTGCATGCAAGATATTTTTTGCAGACAATAAATGACTCGTAAAGCAACTTCACTTGGTTTTTTGTGTATATAGGATGTATTTACTTTTTTATGACTTATAATGCAAATTTCATGATCTGGATCTATGTTTTTGCTTAATTGATGTTTTTTTGCCGATTTTCTTCAGATGGAAGAACCGCAGCTCTTCAAAAGCTCTTGAAAATTCAATAAAAGTAAGGCATAAACTTGAAAGCAGTGAACCATTATCAATCTTACTTAATGTTGATGGATTTATTATATGTGCGGACATGCTTGATCCATTGCTTTAGAGCTCTTATTCAATATGAACACAATTCTTATTTATCTCAATTTCTGATTTAGATATCGTCTCCCTATTTAAGTTGGATATTTAATTTTGTCTACCTTTTTAATATATTAGGGCAGTTTTCAGAATCTATTTTGACCCTTGTATTTTTGTCGGATCACTCAGATTTGCAATGATCAAGTTTTTGCATGTTTTAATGGTAATTGTAAATTTTTTTCACTGGTTTCTGATTGGTAATCATAATTAATAATTTTTCGTACATAATTTATAGGATGTGCTATTTGGTTTTGCTGAATATACATCTGAGTGAAAACTATGAAAAAAATCAACTGAAGCCTATACATTAACGGGTCCTTACGCTGACCTTTTATATGTATTAGTCAAATGATGGCTGAACTATAATATTTTCTCTTGTCTTTATTTTTTTAAATAGTTGGCATTATATTATTGAATAATAGTTGTTATAAGAAATGAGTTACATATAATACGATTGTGTTGGTGAATGTCGGTTGCTGCCCTGACAGCAATAGATACAATTTCAAGAGGAAAGTACGAGTAATTGCATGCTAGAAATGGGAGGTAAGAAGCTATGATTAGCGGTCCAGCTAATTGTAGTTGGTTGACAATAAAATACGGAGGATGCCCATGGAGGCATGGATCAATGGCAATTAGCTTCAGAGATTAAAATCTGGAGCACTCGGATTTGTCGAATTTTAGGATATATATATATATATTTTATTGTAGTTTTTTACTCTTTCAATAGATGTTTATATATCTCTATGTTTGAATATCCTTTGAATGACGATAATGCATGCAAGAAGTTGTTATTCACCTATTTTCTACATGTTATTAGAGCTCTAGGTTAGGGCCCCAATTTCTGATGGCTCATTTTATTTTACTTAATTCCTTCCTTTCTTCTCCATGTTGGAGAATTCTAACTCTATGAGAGTATCAACCATCATGAATGATATATGCTAAATTAATGCAATCAAAGGAGAATTCTAGGGATTACAATTTTTATATCGGCTTAATTGAAGAAACTATCTAAATTAGTATTAGATCAAGAAAAAAACATTTTTGAAAGAAAAATGGAAACTCCAGATTATTTTCCTGGATCTTGATCATCCAAAGTTCGTAGATTGGGATGGAGACTCCAGGATAATGTAATGATTGTGAAATTGTAGGTTGTCCAAAATCCGTAGGCTTTACATATTCCTCCTAATATCATATGAAGTCTGGCAAATTGTGATATTAATATAGCTAAAGGTCAAGGATGATGTTCTCAGTTATAAAATTATGAGAAAACTCTTAACCACAGAGCAAGTTAACCTATCCGTCATTGAATGTTTCAAATCAACTTAATACATAGATCTTAAGATAAAATACTGTAATGATATTGTGATATTGAAAGAATATGTCGAAAGAAAAATGATTTTTGGATTTTTGATATGTCTTGGTATTCAAAACAGCCCTATAATTCAAGAAAATTCAACACAAAACAGATTTTATTGAAAAAAAATCAAGCACGAACAAAACAAAATACAATGGACCTCTTTCGAGAGGAGGAAATTCTCTCCCAAACTATAGACACCATTAAGATCCCTCACACAAGAGAACTACAACACTCAAAATAAATTTCTGCATAAGAATAAAATAAACCCTACTATAGACTTAAATAAGCTTCCACCTGCCCTCCTAAATTAGCCTCCTTCCTAAAGTGTTTCCCTCCTTAATTTGAAATTCAATTAGTCAAAGATTTCCTAATTGATTTCCACTTAATGTAATGTATTAATTCCTAATTTATTTCCTCCTAATCTAATGCATTAATTCCTAATTGATTTTTTCCTAATATAATGCATTAATTTCTTGCTAGGCCCCACCCCCCTCAACCCTTTCTCTATCCTTGTTTGCCAGCCCAACATGGGCCCCAGCTGGGCTAGAATTTGCTTCTGCCGTATCAGTTTCTTGCTAGCTAGACACTATTTATAATTCGATAACTTTGTATTAAAATTTGGGCAAGAAAATCACATAATTAAGAAGAAGATTATTACACCATTGATCAACCGTAATGAAAGTAGATTCTTGTAATTAGGAGTGTCAAAACTTGACCCGACCCAAAACCTAATCGGACCCGACCAAAAAATTTTGGGTTTGAGTTAACCCGTTTGCCATACGGCTCCGGTTTGGGTTTGAGTTTTCAATCCATTTATACAATCATGTTGGGTTTGGGTTGACGCAGAAACCTAAAATGACCCAAAGGCACTCGAACCCGCCCGCTGCATCGCACCCGGACTCCGCCCCTTCGCATCGCACCCTAACTCTTCCCTCCACACCGTAGCGCCAGCCGCTAGTGAACCCTCCCGTGGACCCACGTTCACGTCCGGACTCCGCCCTTTACACACAGCGCCAACAAGCTCTCCCGCGGACCCGCGCTCGTGTTCAGAATCTGCCCTCTGCACGCAACACCAGCGAGCCCTCCCGCGGATCCGATCTTTCGTACGGACTCTGCATTGGCGCACTTGGACTTGCGCTCGCATCTGTACTCTGTTGGCTGTGTTCCAAGTTTGTGGGTGGGTTAGGGTCAACCCGGTAACCCACGCGCGTTTATAGAACCAGGTTGGGTTCGGTTTAACCCGTTTGGACCTGGGTTAATTCTCAATTCGAACCAAACCTGGACTGAAAACCCATTTTGACACCCCTGCCTTTAATGAAGAGATAGAATGAGTATTAAGGATTGAGTCAAGAGAACCACCCCCCCCCCTCCCAAATCATCCTGTTATAAATGGGACAATCCATTCCTAATACCTCATTGAATAGTCATTTCAACTTGCCATTTGATATTACATTATCTTCTCCAAACAAAGCGTGTCAGATAAGCGGATGCTTGTTTTGGCAACATTTAGGTTTCATAAAGTTTGCCCGTATTCCTCCATAGTATTCCCTTTCCCAAGTGCTTTGCTTTCCCCATGTCTCCCAGCCTTTCCTTACATATTCATCTTCAAACCCCTCTTCACATTCTTCCCACTTTTCTCCAAAATCAGCACCCCTCCTTCGATAATTTCCATCTTTTTTCTCCCAATGAACCCCCTTTACTCCATGTTCCCTATTCCCACGTCTC